GTGAGTAACATCTCCGGCCGTAGGATGCTACAACCCGGGGAGTAACACGGCAAAACTACTGGCATTTTTACACGTTAAGTGTTTCCCGGTCGCCCCCCCGGACCCTTGCGCACCCGCAGCCCTCCGCTTTCATATTGGCTTTTACCAACAACAAAAAAAACCCCATTTAGTCGCGACAGGGTCCGTGTTTTCCGCGGAAGAAAAACCTGACTATGTGGCTGTGTGCTCTCTGTACCGTGAAGTTGAGGTGCACTTACACGAATAGCCTGCCCCCCCCCAAAAAAACAAACAGCAGTTTTAGTGTGGAAGAGTTGCATGTTTATTTAGAACCAGATTTGTCTTTTTTTGTTGTTTTTTCTGGGATGTGTAACCCAGAGTTTTGAGGGTACTCCACACAGACGCTGCAGTGCATGTGGCTCCTCTTTTTTTCCTTTCCTCCCTCTAAGTGCTTTTTGCGTCTGTGAAGTTAGCGAGGCAGCCTTTGACATCACCACGGGATGGGAGATGACAGCAGAGTGCTTTTAACTTGATTGCAAATTATGGATAGCGCCGTGCAACGTTCACTTTCCATCCAAATAGGCCTACTTGCATTACTTATCTATTTCAATGTATTTAGGTTAATGGGTGAGGCAATCTAATTAATTTTAATTTAAATCAAACTCGCCTCTAATGATGTCCCATTTTGGATTGAACTGATGTTGAGACGTGCAGTGCTTTTTATCACTTTCAAGGTCTAAATGGTGCTCAGTGTATGTGCATTTAATTACATTTACACAACATGATGATAATATTAAAATGGAGACTGTATGCAGTACTGGAGGCTTTACGTGGTCAGAGATGAAGTTTTTCTCTGATGTTTTTCTTTCCTCTGACACTTCTTTAAGAGTATTTTGAGGGTTATTTAGCTGACAATATCGACCACCTGCTGACGTGCACAATGACAGCCTCCACTAACCTAAAACACTATTTTTTTGTGTGTGTTATTTCTCAAAGTACAGTACACAGCTTTTGCACATTTGAGTTTATTCCAGGGTTCCTGCTCCTCCAAAAGTAATGGATGCATTTGTAACCCATTATTTATGTTTGAAAATGGATATTTCATATCTCTTAGCAGAGCATCCTTTCACTTACACGTCTAAAAACCAATAAAAGGATTGCGGCAGAGACATAAATTGGTCTGTCTGGCTGAATCCATGTTGTGCTGCAAATGTACCTAAATTAACTCAACTGTAAATTGTCTCCTTTGGATGTCTGTCTAGCTAAAAGTTCCCTATATGATTCATGATTCAGATTGCTTTTAACAGTTATTGGCTAAGCAATATGGTAAATGTACAAGGTGATGCAAATGGCATTAGTGGGAAAGGATGCACAGGAGCATGTAATGCAGTCAATACTACATTAACTACTGATGCCCAATTACAGAACCAGGGAGAGTGGCTTTTAGGAGCATTAGGACTTGCAGAAAAGCTGAGATCACCTGCTGCTCATTGCCTAAAAGCTTCACCCTTTATTTGCTGGTCCCGACCAGCAGCTCCAGCATTTTGGCCAGGTTGTCAACAGTGCTGCTTGGATCTGGTCTCTTTCATTGTGGTGCCTCTTAGCGTTTATTGGCTCTCAAGTTATAGGGTTGTCAATTCAAACCTTCTTGTCTAATGTATCCACTTAGTGCCTGCACAAATAGATGTGTGTTTATGCGCAGAGGGAGGTGTGGGTTGGCGTTTTGGGTGGCCACATGGGTGTATGTGTATGATTACTGTCTGTTTCTCTTGATTGATTCACTATTATGCCTGTGTGTCTTGTGTTTGTGCGTGCTGCTAAAGTGTTCATATTTCAGTCCTTATGTGGCCTATAAAACAGATCATCAGTGTGTCTGTTCTCATGTTCAAAGCCTGCAACCTCAGTTGGCAACTCAGTAATGCTGCTGCTTGTTTGGCAGACTGTTTTTTGAACTCTGACTTCTCTTTGAAAAGTCTGCAACAATTTGTGCTACAAATGCAATAACCAGAAATGATTCTCAGTGCCCCCCTTTTGTCTTAGCTCCATTGAGAAAATCTGCCTGCTACAATTCAGTTCCCACTGCTTCAGTCTATCAAAAACGTAACACAACATTTCTGCCAAACTTACAAAGGATCAACCCTGAATTATTTCTCCCATTAGTTTCATGTGGTATGTAGCCAGCTGCCCATATTGTCTGTCCTGCATCCACAAGTTACATGCACATCGTAAACGAATCACCATATTCTCACATGATGCAGTCATTAACTTCTAATATACACTATGTGGTACAGCACTGAGTCTGAGAGCAACGGAGGAAGACTGTAAAAGGAACACAGGCACTGCTCTGTGAAATGATCCAATATGCAGGTAGTAGGCATAGTTAGTAATGAACAGCAACACATGTACCAATTCTGTGTCAACATTTTATTTCACCCTGTGATATGAAGGTTACAATTTGCGTCTAATTTGAGAGTAAAAAAGCAACTCAGCCATTTTCTCTCCTTCGTACCAACTGCAGGAGAAGAAAGTGGGTCCACACTGAAGGCATATTTTTGCTGAACATTAACACAACTACAGTATATTCTTCACAGACCTCAGGAGAAGAAAAATCCTCCAGCTACTGATACATTTCTGGTTACCTTTGCTTGTTAATTTATGACCCTGTTATCATCCTGTCCAGTGAAATTTGTACATTCATAAAGCATGTGATTGAAAAGCAATGCTTCAGATGAATGCAGACTGGTGATCTGTCGGCTGCTGTAATAAAACTTGGGCTTCAGGCTCCGATTTTTATTTTGAAATAATAAGAATTGCTTCATTCTTTACCGGTGTTACCATGGTAATACTGTCTTGTAGCGATGTTATATTGATTTAGAAAGTGGACAGTAATATTTCTTTTCTGTTATTTGGTTTCTGAGGGTTGATTTCTAATTTCCAGTTGGAGATTACTTTTATATGTTCTTTAAGTCTTTTCACTTTTCCAAAGGAATGCAATTTGCTCCCCTGTATTTGCTATTTTCTCAGCTTATTGGTTTGCTCTTACTTCAAATTAAACTCGCCCATTTCAAATATTGAAATTACGTCTGGTTTTTGTGCTCTGGGCCCTGAACAATATTACAAACACATTGCCTTCGTTTGATAAGTCACTACTGTTTAAAAAAAAAAAAAAAAGCTTTATTACAGGCACCTGCGTCGCCTTTGCAGTACTTTTCCAATTTTGTCCTAACCATAGATTGTCAAAGGAGACTTGTGTGTTTTGAGCTGTTACGAGTGTAACCTGTGCACAGGAAAATCTTTTCATTTGCATGCACATAACAAAATAGTACCAAAATATTACAGTATGAATCTTCCCTGATACGGAGTTGATAATGACATTATCAACTCTGCATTAACAAGTAACATGTTTTGCGTCCTCAGGGCTTTGATCATCCATAGTATAACTAAAGCTGCTCTCATTATTCAGTTCAGCTAAGCTAAGCTAAACAAATTAACACAAATGACATATATACCATTTTCAGCTGTGGCTGTTTAATTCCGACTAATCTGTTTCTGATCTTACAAATGGAGAATTCCCACTGGAGACTATTTCCTCTGTCACCACTAAACCTCTAGATCCCTATCAGTCCTGATTGTTTCACATCTACGAGTGCTCGAGATGTGTATCATATTCTATAATTTTAGTGGAATTCAAAGGGGGCTGAATTGAGACTTAGAGACACGTGTCAGTGAGCACGCCCACCTGCCTTCAATGTAAATGGCTGCACTCATCAGTGTGGTACACAAACTCAATTATGCACTCTTGAGTAGTAAGAGCATCCCTTTTATTATTGGCAGAGACATGCTAGCCATGTTATCATACGAATTCTCACGACAAGATCTGGCTACCCACATACATCACAGGGAGCGGACAGCCCCTGTTGTGTTGTCCAAAGTCTTATCCTTTTGTTTCTATTCACTCCAAATGTTCTTTTTTTTCAATGTCAAGAAGAATGTCAGGTATGTTGCTCAGGTGTTGTGTGACAATAGTGAAGGTTACAGAGATAGAGGTGCCACATTGAAAATTATATCAAATAAGAGAGCCACAAGGGCATATACACATCAGTCCAAATGTTACAATGAAACGTTTTACAAAATCCACAGATATCCTGACAAGTTTAGATGAATGGTTACTTTAAACCACCTTGGAGAAGCAAGCTCTGAGACAAATGCAGACATGCACTGAAGTAATGTGGACACAAAGCTATTCTCGCCCGCAAAATAAACCCCAATAATCTCATCCATAGTTGAAACGGTGTAAAAATATTACTTTATTTATCAACAACATGTAGTCCAGCGTTATTGACAATAACCTACCGTTTTTAAAAGAAATGTCATATATATATATATATATAGTTAGTTATTCAGCTGCCTGAGCGTGTTGGAATAAGGTCTTACTGCCACTTGTCACTGCAAAGCTGACTCTCTCAAGCTGCTGTTGACTATATGTCAATGTGCAAAAAAATAAAATAAAATCATACATCAATGCCTCTACAAACACACACATGCACACATCCTGCAACATCTCATCAGTTTTTTTCACGTAAAGTTATTTATTCACTTGTTTACCTATTGTGCGCTCTCAGTTCTGACTTGTTTGGCATTCTGATGCACTCTGTAAAGCTTATTCTTTGCTCTCTGGAAAATCATTTCTCCTTTATTCTATCATCATAGGCTTAGTAAAGAAGACAGGAAAGATGGGAAAGTCAAGTTCTCAAGTTCTTGAGATGAGCAGATGTCAAAACTACAATGTCACCAACTACGGTTCTTTGGCAGTTGTGAAGTGTGAAGATGCTCAGAAAATGTTCCTGAAGAAAAACTTTAATATTCTACCTGCAGCAATAAAATAACACGTCACCTGTTACACTCTACAAGGCAATGTAAGCACTTTGTATGGTTAGGTTTCAGTGAAAATCAAAACGTTAACACTGCCAGGGTTAGTTTCATGCTTTACATATTTAAATGCA